AAGCTGTTCATGTCTGAGTTTATGCACGTGTCTCTCAGGTATAACATTCCAGTCAAAGCTTTGGAGTATAACCTATGTTTTTAATTGGTCTTCTTACAAGGAAAGCAGATTCTTATTGAACTTATGCAAATAAACATTCTGCCATGAAATATAAAAATACTGAAAGCTTTTAAATTTTGGGGGGTCAGGTAGAGAGAAAGTTAAATGTTTCAATTCTGCTTATAAAGGTATTGTCATTTATGAAACTGTCAGTCAGCTTAAGATAAAAAGCTTTAAACACTTTATCAGCAAGATTTGAAACAAAAAGCCACAAAATCATCTTCCTTAGTTTACTTATTTTTATGTAACCAATACTTGTTCTGCTGAAATCTAGTTCTTTACTAGCTTAGGAGTAATAAAACAGTGACTATAAATGACAAAAGACTTACAAATGACAATGGTTAAAGATCTGATGAGAGCTTACTGTAAGACAGTTGACATAAGGAAATTATTCGGATATTTTTGTAACACAAAACATTCAGTAACAAAGTTTAGCATTATTCCCTTTGACAGTGCTTTCTATTTAATTAAGCAGGTAATTATATATCAGATAAATAAGCCAACTTAGCCAAATACTTTCTCCAATAAGAAAAAGTTCCTCTGACATGTTTCAGGGGCCCTCTGGAAAATATCAGAGTTAACTAGTGGTAAAAGTACCTTTTTGAATTTGATTTTTTTTCGGGGGGGGGCACTTACTTAAATAGGATTATAGGTTGCCATGAAGCAATACTTTTCCATTTAACTAGAATGACAACAAAATACCTCAAAGGCAAATAAAGAAGGTTACACAGTTCTTAGCAAGGTTCAGCTTTTAGTCCTTTCAATATTAAGATCTCATTTTCTTCAATACTCTGACAACTCACTGAGACTTTAAGCATGAGAAACTGCTTTGATAAAACAGAGAACCCTTTGCAATCTTTCATTATTAAGAGCAGACTAACTGAAAGGAAAGGAGCGACACATAGCAGCAATTCACCGGAGAGTTCCGCTTTATTAGGGAAAGGTGCTGGGTTATATAGGAAGGGGCATGAATTGATTGAGGTGTCACTTCTACGGGGCTGGTGGCTGTTGGCTAGGTGCTGGGATTGGGAGGGGGGCGAGAGGTGATTGGGCTTCAGGTGGCGCCAGCGGGAACTGAGGACCCTGAAGAGAAGCCGGAAGTTTGCCATCTTACTGGTGGGGGCCCTTCACTAACAGTTAAGAAAACTTTGTCTTTTTAACTGAAAACAAAATTCTAATTTTGCTGTGTACTTGATACCAAGACTCATTTGCTTTAATTTTATATAGCATGAGCATATTAAATTCGTCCAAAACTTTCTACAACCTTCTTTTTATTTAGAGTTCTCCCTCTAAATAAACAACTGTAATTTAGAACAAAGTTACATTCTTTTATCAAAAGACACATTCTTTAGCATGCAGAAATGTTTTCCTTATTACTTTAAGTAGTTTTAATTAGAACTTAAAACCATTAGGTACCTTAATTTTTCGTAAACACTGAGAAGCAGGGTATTGTAAACTGTTTCACTAGCATTCTTTGGATTGACAAATTTATGAACATTTTATAATTTCTGTAACCATGAGCTTTACAACACAATTTCTCACTAAGCACAAAGTATATCTTCTTAACTTAGCAAAACTTTAAGGTTTTAGGTTACCACAAAGATTCTCAGGCTGTAGGTAGGTATACACACTGTAACAATTATTATTAAGAAGTTCACTTGCTACATTTAGTTTATTCATTCTTAACAACTATGCTAGACTACTTAGAAAACCTTTACTGAATATTAGACAAAGTCAAACCTCTAAGCATTTTATTCTTGAAAGATTTAGCAGGTAATATCAACTTAAATAACTTTAGGGAAACTTAGGCAGCTGATAACCATAAGGACATGTCTGTTTCAGTTCAACTTGAATTAGCATTAATGCTTAATATTTTCCATTAGAATTCTCTGGAAGTTTTAGAATGGCCAATTTTCACAAGTGCTTGTCTTTAAATCAATTTTGTTAATACCATCCGGAGGTAGAAAAATCTTTCATTTACACGCTTAGACACACAAACATACAGATTGAGACATAATGACTACAGTTAGCAACACTCTTCATAAAAAGAGCATATACACAGACAGATAAACTGACACAGAGACTTGAGTTACTGATATCCAATTGCCTTTCCTTTTAGCTTATTTGACTAAAAGTATCTCAGTTTTCAAGAATACACTCTACAGGTGAGCAGTTTATGTAACCGGGTTAAGGTTTAGATGGCCCCAGACTAACAGGGCCGATGAAGGCTCTGAACTGATAGGGACTGTGTGTGTCCAGGGGGCTGGAAATGAAATGCAAGCACAATTCTAGCTCCAGTCATTTAAAGTCAGGCTGTATTGCAGAAGATACATTTCTTCTGTTTCAGGGAGTCCAGTTTAAAGACCTCTCAATTTTTGAAGGTAATGAACCCAATAAGTAGAATAGATTTCTACCAAAATAATTTACAAAACTAGTTCCACATTGTAGTAGTTCATGGGACTTTTGACTATTTTCCTTCCTTGCATTAAAATAAATTTAGTTGCATAATCTTGTTATATTGCATACTTCTCTCAGGGGCCAAGCCTCTCCATTAGGGAGTTTGTATTGAGGCTAGGCTTGTGTGAAGAAGATAAGGCACTTTTTTCAGGGTCTGGGAATCAAAATTGCTCCCAGTTCTTCAGAATGCATGCCAGAGGCATGTCTGGCCTTAACCTTGAAGAGGAAGCTCCTGTCCGGAAGAGAGAAAGACGGGTGTGTGACACCTGGTCGGCCTTTCCTCTGTAAGGGCATCCCGTTGCCTTGGAGCCTGGGTGACAGTGGTCAATCACCCCCTCTGCCAGGCCTACAGGACTTAATCACTCCTTACCAGCGTGGCCTGCACCTTGCCTTGATTCCCCTCTTGCCTTTCCACTAAGCAAGAGTCGCCTTGGAGCTGTGGATTTAGTGGGGCCTTACCAGTGTGCTGCTACTTTACACCTTCTGGGAGTTTCTCTAGTTTTCTCTGCACGAGCTTTCCTTGAGTGCTCCCTGCCTGTCTGATAAGTGCAAGGACTTTGTGACTTCTTGCTGCCAGAGCCCTGATCTAAGTCACAAGCCTGTTTTGCTTTCCCGGGGCTGCAGAAAAGGAAATGCCTAGCCCCAGGATGACTGCCTCTAAGGAAAGGATATCAACAGAATAGAGCCATTTACATGTTGGTCTCAGGTTTCAGCTTGATTACTTTACAGACTCATTTACATTATGCAGGAGAAAGTGGTGCAGGCCTAAGAGGACTGCTTTGATTGGAGAGCAAGGGAACTTTTTGCCAAGGCCAGAAATAAAATTCAGGGGCTGCCACGGATATTTATGGCGGGGGGGCTATACTCAAACACCAGTTTCTGCCACTGCCTGGAAATTATCTTGCCAGTCACCCACTATAACAAATCTGATCACTGAGAGAAGAGGTCGGGGGTCAAATGCGACTCTCGCATAGGTAGCAGCCTAGCCGGAGGTTCACTCAGCGCCGTCGGATCAATCAGTGGGAGCCGAGATCCAAGGACCACTGTCTACTGGTCCGGTCGGCCCTCGGAGTCCACAGATTAGGATAGGAAAGTAGGAAATCGGCTCAGCCACTCCCCGACATTCCTATCTGTCTGGAGGCAGGGGGATCAAGGAGCGGCAGACACTGGGAAACCTTTCCCCCCCCCCCGAGATTTAAGACTGGTAGCCGACGCTAATCATCTTTTAAGTGGCTAACGGGTGCCCAGGCACATTTTTATGAGATAAAAAGTACAGCGTTTAGTTAGGAATAAGAGCGAAGTGAAGGTCTCCTACCTTGCGGAGGTGAGCATCAGGTTCCTTGAGACTGATGAAGTTAGGAGAGAGTTAGGAACTCCCCCTGCCTCACTCAGAGGCCAGGGCGGCCTGAAGAAGCAGGTTGGAAGTCAGAGACAGAGACAGAGAGGCGCTCTTCACGGATAGCCAGTTGGGCTGTCAGGGTCTGATTCCAGACATGCGGGCCTTTGAGAAGCTGCTGAAGTGTCCTCAGCCTAGACTCGCAGGTGCCCATGGCTTTCCTCAGTCCCTCGCATCCGAGGAGATGCCTCTGAAAGGGAATCCTGGCCTCCACTCAGCTGACTTTTCCAGCTCCCAAGGGAGATGGGGGATCCACTGAGGGAGACAGCATCTTTCCCTAGAGAATTAGTGTGACCTTGACTTTGCATAATGCTTAACAGAGTTTCAGTGGGGACTTCTTTGCCCCTTGTTACATTGCTCTGACTGTAAATATTCTGCCCTGCTTTTCCCGGAGGCCCTCACCCTACCCTGACTACACCCATGGTCCCTGTCTCAATTAGTCATGTAAATCTGTCATTCATGCTGAAGTGTGAGCTCAGGAACTGTGTGTCATTATTCTGTGTTATTTGTAGTGGCAAGTATAGTACCTTACACATAGGTACTCAGTAAATAATCAATTATGATTATGGCAAATAAATGCCCTAATCAGGAGTTGAATGCTTGTTATTAATTTCAAAACCTTCCTTTAAATTACATCATACAGAGAATTTAACAGGAAGTATTTCTTAATGAAATTACCCAAGAGGTTCTTCCTCAGTTCTAGAATGGTGAACTATAAAAGTTACTCATTAATCTTAGGTGCTGGATAGGGTGTGCTTCTGGGATAAGGAACTGAAAGTCTTCAACACATCTCCCCAGTTCTGGGTGGGTAAACTCTTCAGAGAAGTCCTCCTTGTAAGGTTGAAGGCACTGGGGGGAGGGGTGAGCATGTCCGACACTGATGACGTGCCAAAGTCCCCGGCTGCTGCGTCCTCCCAACCTGAAAAATGTGCCTTAGGCTAGCCAATCCTTGCACCGCTGTAAATCTAAGCTCTGCCTTCCCCTACCTTCTTTAAAAACTCGCTGCCTGCCCTGCTGGGTGTGACTTCCCCCGCCTGTGATAGCCAGACAGGGGAAGATCACCTGGAAATTGCGCTCAAATAAACTGCCTGGCCCTTTGTTGCCTCTCATCGCCTGCTTATTTCAGCTAGAATTTATCTTACACTCCTATTCTGAATAACTACTGTTGAAGAAAGGTTGTTGGAAAGTCTCCAGGACTACATATCCCATTAGAAAGCTTTAAACAAGATAGATAATACCTGCTGGTTTACCAGTGATTCTGACTTTCTGCTGAGCTGGAAACTGCTTGTTTTGTGGAAAAGCAAAACTCAGCAGCAAACATCTAACATGAATCACCCCCGAACTTTTGAGGAGCAAACAGAATGCATTGTGGACTTTCTACTCGAAGACTTCTTAGGCACCACATTGCAGGTTGCTAACCGAGACCTACGTTGTGTAGATGAAACAGATTCAGGTAAGGCAGGCTGGCCTGAGGTGGTGACTGCAGGTCAGTAAGAGAATCTGAGTGTGCTTTCTCATTTCCTCTTAAGTTTCAAAAGGCAAACTCTTAAGTTTTCAGCAATACCTGAAGTCTTCATGGGAGGGAAAGATATTCTCAGTAAAGGGACATTTTCTGACTGCTTATGTTGACAGGACAGAACATTGAAGATGTTCTTGGAAGAGAATGAGAAATAACTTTCTTCAATACCTGGATTCCCAGGATTTGCTATCCCTTCAAGCATTTTGACAAATGTAAATGTGTTCCCTCTGTCTTAGGAGAGGCTGGCTCTTTTGACGTGGCCATAATTGTTGGACGCCTTCGAATGTTGGGTGACCAGTTCAACGCAGAAGTGGAAGCTTCAGCCAAAAACGTCATTGCAGGAGCCATTCGGGGACAGGTCAAGTTTCTACTACTCCTTTCTAGTGTTTACTGCTATATTTTCTATTTCAAATGCCCTTTCAGACTACTTCTAATGACTATGGCTAGAAATGTTCTGTGAAAGATTTGAGAATGTATATTAGTCAAGGAAATACAGCAGGAATCCTCCAGTTGCCAATTCTTTAGGAGTCAATCAAACCTAACAGCTGCTGACATGGAAAGCCTTTGGCATCAGCCTACCAACCTTAGATTGTTGCTACTTTTTTCATCAGAGCTGTGCTTAGTGGCATAGAGCATATCCTTAGCATTTTATTCTTATTAAAGCACTTTATTCTTTTACATACCTGTTTTAATGTTTGTTTTGCTGGGAGCAGTATTTTTTCTCCCCCAAGGTCCAGAAATGAAATTATATACAGGAAGGATAGATAGTTAACAAGTCTGATGCAAGGAAGCATAAGTACTTACAACACCCACTATTGGGGTGTCTGCCCTTTCAACAGAATGCTGATTACTAGCAGCAGCACTTGTATTCTGTATTGGACTTGGAGATCATAGACAGTATGCAAGAAGATGTTGCTGATTAATATCAATAATGACATCTAATATTAACTCATCATTTACAATGTGCTAGACAGTATTCTAAATGTTTTATACTTCTCATTTAATCTTTATACCACTCTATGAGGTATTGTAGAAACTATTATCCATAGCACTTCCTCTCCTCATCTTCATATAACATTGTGAGAGCAAACGTATAAAACCTCTTTTTCACTGCTGTATTCACATAACTTAGAACACTATCTGATATACAATAGGCCCTCAATAATTGTTTTCTGACTTGATAACCATTTACGCAGATAAGGAAACTGAGGGATAGGGAAACAAATAATTAGTTTACTCCAGTAAGTGTTGAAGTTAGGATTTGAACCAAGACTCATTCCAGAACCACGCTCTTAACCATTACGCTTTATTCTGCCTACTGAATACAGCTTGGGTGGTGTGCCTATTAGGATGGAACTGGATTACTACCCCTGATTGCTTGCACTGTTTCCTAAGTAGCTGATAGCTGAATCTACTTTTTTTTTAATTAAAGTTTTTTTTCAAACAGCATCAAACTCATAGAAAAGTTGTACATGTTGTAAAGAATTTCCCTCTTGAATCGTTTGGATAAATAGCTGACATGATGTTCCTTCACCCTTAATACTTTTACATTTCCTTCAAACAAGGACATTCTCTTACATAACTACAATCTAAGCATAAAAACCAAGAAATTAGCATTGAAATAAACATCATTATCTCATCCTCAGCAGATCCCATTCAAGTTTTGTCAGTTATCCTAGTGAGGTTACTTACAGCAAAAAGACCTGGGCCAGAGTCAGATAGTGCATTTAGTTGTCATGTCTTTTTAGTCTCCTTCAGTCTGGAATAGTTCCTCTGTGTTTCCTTGATTTTCACAGACTTGACACTTGAAGATTGTGGACCTACAGTTATTTTGTAGAATGTCCCACCATGAGTTGAATTTGTTTAATGTTTCCTCTTCAGTAGATTCAGAGTATGTCCCTTCAGTAGGAATATCACAGAAATGTTGCTGTGTTCTTCTCACTGCATCCTTCAACTGGCACAGATTTCAATTTGGTGTTATTTAATCAAGTAAGATGGTGTTGGCAAGTCTTCTCCAATGTAAAGTCAATCTTGTCTCCTTTGTAATTAATTAAGGTTTTGTACAGAGATACTTTGAAACCAAGCAAATATCCCATATCCCATATCTCATTGACATGTCCAACTATTTATTTATTTACTATATTACTATGGATTCATGATTTCCTGCTTTATTCAGTGGGTTATAATCTATTACTATCATTTATTTGGATGCTCAAATTGTCCTGGTTTTGGCCAGTGGGAGTCCTTTCAATCTAGGCTGTGTTTTTTTGGCATGTCCTCATTCTCTGAGTACTTCTTTAATTTCTGACAGATTATTTTGTAGTCTCTAACCCCCTACCTGAAATCAGCCATTCTCCAGGGAGCTCTGGTTTCTTTAAATAGGAAATGATACTTGGAAACCAAACTTGGTGCTCTCACTTAGATGCCCCTCTCAGCTTGTTTGGGCTTTTGACACCCCTGCTTTGACTACAGTGGACCCACTTACACTACATCACAAATTGATCTTGCTTGGCCCCAGCTAAAAGCTTTTTGACCAAATATTTTGGGAAGGAAAGAAGAAGGGGGAAATCTCATCTATTTTTCTACTTTCCCAGACTTGTCATTAAAGCAATACCTTTATAATTTGACTGGCTACACTATTAGATACTTAATATTTTTCTTTTAAGTCATTTTGCTTTTCTTTAAATCATTTTGTTCATCCTAAGCAACAATATCTGAAATCATGGGTTTGATGAAACTTTTATTTTTTCTAATACCTGGTACAATAAATAAAAATATAATAAAATGAGAAAAGTTTATCCATCTACTCCCTAAAATTACAACCCTTAGACAGAACCACTTGCTGCTCTGGGAAATGCTTACTTTGCCAGATTCCTGCCCCTGTATCCTCTTGTACTATTTTAGTGACACTCCACTGATCCTGTGTTTCTCCCCAGGCAGGAGCTATACTTCAGGACACAGTAAAATCTCTCAGCCAGGCCTGGTGTGCTCAGGATTCCAGCTTAGTTTATGAGAGAGCCTTTCTGGCCGTGTCAGTGAAACTTCTTGAATACGTGGCCCGCACAGCTCCTAAAATGGCAAGACAGGTGGCTCTCCCCATGACAAATATGATCAATGAGAACAGTGCCCTCCGGGAGTTCATCCAGGGCCACGGAGGTTGGGTAAGTATGTTGGGGTCCCTGGATTTGCTAGGCACTTTCACTGTTTTTGTGCTAATACCTGAGACTTCAATTCATGATTCTTTCTGTAAATTCGAAACCAAGCAGGAAAACAGGCCTCCCTACTTTCCTGAAAATGGCAGGATTTTTTTTGTCATGGAAAAGGGGAGCAGTCAGAAGCCCAACCTGTGAGAGTTGGACTCAAGAACCATGCTGCCTGAGATACTCACTGCTAACTCTGTAAAGCTAATTTCCACCTCTTACACATAATCACCTGTCAAGCAGATTGGTGGTGGAGTTCTAATCCCAACCTGGCTTCCTGCTGTTCCCTGGTTAACTTCTGGGTCTTTTTTCCTAGGATCTTTGGGTATGTATTGAGGACATTCAGAATCATGTTACTATTATTTAACAAAAAACAATTAGTGTCATTTGCTGTAGTGATAACTCTAGGGGGCATTCTAAGCCAGGTCTTAGTAATCATTAGACTGTCTGCTCCCATTGAGCACTCCCCTTCAGGTCTAGGATCAACAGAAGCCTTAATAAGAGCTGCATTCCCTGGAGGTATCTGCAGATCTTTCCTGGTTTCTTTAGGAAGTTCCTGAAGACCATCCCTTTGTCTATTCATTGTCTTTCCTAGGAAAATCTGGAGAGCTGAAGAGGAGGTAGAGCTGTTTACCAGCCTGAACATCGCTGCCTTTTTGACTGGTCAGGTGATTGATTTCCAGAAATTAAAACAGTCAACCAAACAGAAAACCACTTTCTTTTGGACAGAACTGAACTTTGTTGAATAATTTGGTTTCTACTGATTGTTAAAAGCTGGGAGAAGCTCCCAGAGATCTATAGAGATTTTCTATTTTCTGTTTTTATGTGAGTTTTACTGAGGTTCTGTTGAAGCAAAGATCTCCAAACACGAAGGAACGACTTGCTAGTAGTGCAATTCTAGGCAACAGGGAATTTGCTGGAGCTATTTTGGGGAAAAGGGAGCACACAGTCAACTATTCCTTAGGGTTTAACCCTACCGTTTGCTTAGGGTCTTGTCTACTAATTCTGTAATCTAAAGGATTTTAGGGAAATTTATGTTTGGGAAATCTTGTTATTCTAAGTTGAGGATTTTCTTTCAAATCCATAACCTAAATTTCATGTTAATTTCACCTAAGTAGAATTATTTTAGGCATTTTCAAGGTCAGAAGCAAAAAATAGCAGTTTGTCCATCTGCCCTTGTACTAGAAAGGCCAAAGAAAACAGTTGCTTCATTTTTTACTGCCACACAGGATATGGGGAGGTCCTGCCCACACTGAGGACAGTTGGGCCATCCTAGCTTAGGTGAAGCTAGTTGTGTATCAAATTGTTTTTCAAAGAGTGGTTCACATACCACTTGTGAACCTTACAAATTGCTGATTTTCAGGCTCCATCCTTAAGAGATTCTGATTCTGTAGGAGTGGACTGGGGCCTAGGATCCTACCTTTATAACAATTTCCACAGGTGATTGTGAGGCACATTTAGAGCTTGAGAACCATCACTTTACAGGAGGAGTTGGCCAATCTGGCCTGCCACTTTCTTATAAATAGTTTGATTGGAACACAGCTACACTCACTTGTTTACATATTGTCCATAACTGTTTTGGCACTGCAGTGGCAGAACTGAGTAGTTATGGCAGACACCTTTTAGCCCATGAAGCTCAAATTATTTACCATATGACCCTTTACAGAAGTTTGCAGACCCCCCACTTTAAAGCTAAATTAAGATTTCTCCCTGAATAACTTAAACTCCGTTACAATCCTGATAATTCCTATCAAACACAATTATAGTTAGGATAACTCTTTTTTTCAGCACTAGTCTGAGAGTGTTTGTTAGTTCTTGCCTGGCCCACACTTTCTCTGGCACCTTCAGAAAATTAGAGAGCTCTGCAACTCCTGAGTAGTCAGTAAAGGGTAATATACATGTCCGTGGGCCTACCACAGGTGACTGAAAGTAATGGAATCAAAGCATATGGTTTCTATGGTTTCTGTGTCTCAATAATAGTCCTTAAAAATCTTATAGATCAGTAAGTAATCATCAAGTATATTTTTTCATCCATAAGCCCCAAAACCATACTATTTAGCTGATTGTTGAGAAGAAAAAGCAATGCTGTATCTATTTTTGAAGAAAGGCATTAATGGTTTTGACTGAAGTTTAGCAAAGCTAACCACATCCTCTCCCTTTAGGCAGCCAGCCCTCTGGCTCCTTTAAATGCATAGAAATAAAGATGCAGTGCTGCTGATACTTTTTCAAGTAATGCTATTTCCTCTATTCTTGGATAAATCACAATAGGCTAGTAATCCAGAAATGAAGTTTCATATTTATCTTTAGTACAAATTAGCTTTTTTGCTATCAATTTAAGACACTTAATATAGTCCTTTATCACTTACATTATTATAAACTTAACTTGGTGAATTTTGTGGTATTTGACCTCTTAGGCAAAATCACAGTTTTCACTTTGACTAATGCTGTTTTGTTCTTGAAATAAAATTCTTCTGTCTACACATTTGAACTAATTCTCAGCAAGTGCTATCTAAACTGAATGATGTAGAAACAGAGAACAGAGGGGGAGGGGAGTAAGGGAAATAAGTGAAGATGGTCAAAGGGTATAAAAATGAAAAAGTTTTGGGGATATACTGTGCAACACGGTGACTGTAGTTAATAATGCTGCACTGTGTATTTGAAAGTTGCTGAGAGTACATTTTTAAAGTTCTTACCAGACACACACAAAATTGTCTATTTATATGAAGTAATGGATGTGTTAACCTTACAGTGGTAATCATTTCAACATATGTATACATATTTAATTGTTAACTAGTATACCTTAAACTTATAAAATGTTATCTGTCAATTATTTCACAATAAAGCTATTAAAAAAAGAATTGACTGATAAATGTCAGAGACCAGCAGCCTCGTCTTTCTCTTTTCTTTTCCCTCTTAGCCCTATCAGCTCTCTCTTTTACCCTACATTGCCCATAAAGCAACAAAATTTGAATCTAGCTCCAAGTACACTGCAGTTTCTTGAGATTGAGCATCTGGTACCCTGGGGAATTGAACCAGGCAAATGGGTAAAGCAGCTCTGGACTGGTGTTGTGTCTGTTGCTAGGCCACCCTATCCTAGGAGAGCTGAGGTGATTGGGCTGTGGAAAGAAGACACTAGCCTGGAGATGAAGAATTTGGATTGCCCAATTTTAGCTTTGGATTGCCCAATTTTAGCAACTTAGTTTCACCATAGACTAATCATGTGATATTGGGCAAGTAATCCAATTCCTTTGGGCCTTAGTTCCTCCATCATAAAATAGAGATGATTTTAACTTAATTTATTCATAACTAATTCATAAGATTGACTTAACTAATTTATAGGATCATGAGGAATAAATGACATAATATACTTTGTAAAGGGCTTAGCCCAGGCCTGGAATATTTTAAGCACTGCACCTGTGATTTGGAGC